TATGTAAGGGATTTACAAAATCGCATGACGTATTTTTCAGAGCTAACTGTGATCAAATGTCTGCGTCGGAAATACAAAGGTTATTGAGGCTGCATGGAGAAAAAAACAGACTCTGCTAAAAGAAACCCAGAGAACTGAATCACAATAGTGGAGAAGTTCACAGTTTAAGTTTGGTAGCCGATTGCCAATAAAGAAAACTTGTTTTTCTTCATTCAAGTAACAATGAGAAATATTTTCCATTCTAATAGGTACAGTTCAAATAGGAAGAAAATCCCATAGATGAGTGTATCCAAACAAGATCTCTGAAAAATTATTTGAAATTAAAAAAAAAAAATCCATAGATCTGATCCAGAGAGTGGCTGCCAAAAGCTAATAGCTTATGTTTATGGCCTTTTCCTTTAAATTCACCATAAAAAGGAATTAAAATTCTTGCCACCTAAAAAGAACGCGACAGACAGTAGCTAGGATGACATTTTCAGAGTCAGCCTCTGCCTCAAACTCAAACTATCATATGGGATAAAAATGTTGTGTTTCATACTCCATTCGTCTACACTCCTTGGAAAAAGTTTGTCCTAGAGTGCTTCAAGCTGAGTTTAAATCATTTAGGGCTTGTTTTTCAGGAACGAGTCAGGCAGGACTGAATTTGTGACTACCAAGTTTGCAAATGAGGAAAAGAATAATATTGTCTAATACATTTCATCTGAAAAACAAAACACACGGTTCTGGAAGCCATTCTGCTGAGGCTTCATTAACTTTCATTTAAAATAACGTGAATTCAATGTCTAGTCACCTCCCAAAGCAAAGAACTCAACCTGGATTTGGATAAGGCAGAGATTCAAATTTTAGCTGTTATTAATGAGCAATTCTTGTGTTCTTTTTCTCTCTAGTTTTGAGACAAATTAATGTTTACCATGTACCAAGACGTGTGCAGATCCCCTATAGCCAGGTTATAATACAGGTAACCGTCAAAGAATTTGCAAAGCAAACAGGCCTACCTAGGAGAAACCTAGCCATGATGCAAAATGATGACATGAAGTGTACAGGTGTCTCATTTCACATCTCGTCTCACTAGTTAAATTTGATGTAAAGTCACTCTTTTCATCAATGGAGCTTATTCTCAAGGTATCATCTAAACAGTAAGAAGAGCAAAAATGAGCTGCATATCATCATTTATCATGTCATACAATAAGAAAAAAACATCCAGCAAAAGAGGGCAGTAATACTCAGTGAATCCTTCTGCTTCCTTAAAAGTTGTCAAAAACAGGTCATGTGGGGTTCTACCTACTATTGGGGCAAAAAAAAAAAGTATTAGCTTGCATTCCACTATGTATAGAATTGTGACTTAATTTCCATGTGCAGCTGTTAAGAAACGTCCTGGAATGGCAGAGCCGAATTTCACTTCGGGGCGCAAATATTCCTGATGAGCAGTGAGGAATTTACTGGTTTTTCCTACTGAACCATAGCTACAGATAAAATGAATAAAAATAATCGGGGGAATTTTCAGCATTTGCTGGAAAGATTTTGTTGCTTTGAAAACTCTGCATAAAGGCTGTACACGCCTTGCAAGGAAGACATGTGATGGGCTTTGCAAAGCCTCAATCTCCCTTCCACAGAAATGCCATCTCAGAAGAACCACTATTATTATTAGAACAATAGCATTTGCCTTGGATTTTCAGGAGTCAGTGCAAAAATGGAGTACCACCAGTGCCAAGGAACAACATTTTCCCTGCTGCTGCTCTGTCTCCCCTTCTTTTAGTGGCATTACTGAAGGATGTCAGTCATTATGGATTGCTGTCTCTTCTCCCAATACTGTCCTGAAACCTTGCCTTAGGGAAACAGTAAACTGACCTCAGCACAGAGATGTGAATTCGATGTATATTCTATATATAACCTTTCATATGCGGTTAAACCTAAAATAGAAACAGGAACAACAGCTTTCAGGGAATCACCTCCTCCAAAAATTTCAGCCAATGTAAAAATGGTGAGGTTGAGGAAGCTACTCTGTTCCACAGACTGCTTTCATCTGGACCAAAGGGTACTTAAAACAACTCTCTCAGAAGTAAAAATAATACCGATTTTTTGCAAAGATGGTGTATATGCTTTAAAAAAAAAAAAAAAAAAAAAAAAAGGAGAAAAAAAGGCACCGGGTGTTTGATGCATAAAATCTCCACCTTGTGGTGAATCCTGCCACAGCAAACTATTTTATTTTTAAGAAAAATTCCTGTTCCAACATATAACCAGTTCGTTATTATAGACAATCCCAAAACAAGTGGAGAAGGGCAGCCTTCAGAAAAGGGGTTTAATTGTTTAAAAAAAAAAAAAAAAAAAAAAAGAGAGAGCATAAAATGCACCTGGTTGATGCATAAAATCTCCACCTTGTGGTGAATCCTGCCACAGCAAACTATTTTATTTTTAAGAAAAATTCCTGTTCCAACATATAACCAGTTCGTTATTATAGACAATCCCAAAACAAGTGGAGAAGGGCAGCCTTCAGAAAAACAGCACTATCATATCTCCCTGATTTTCCATCATCTTGGAAAGCTGAAGAATCCTTTCAGTTATACTGCAGCTATCAGGTGCACAAGTGGCCTCCCCCAGCCAAAACCAGACTCGCAGAGAGCTCACGTTGCACCATATGTAGGGTAGGGTGGAAGGTAAAATGTACTGACCGTTTTTTCAAGTGGCAAAAAGTGCCACTTCCCAAGGAAAAGCATCCTCTGCCAAGGCTGAAGTTCTGCCCTGTTGCTCGGTTTGCACATGGGTTATTTATAATAATTGAAAACTTTAAGCCATATCAGCTACCTATATCCCCAGGGTCCTCGAAATCATAGCATAGTTAGCATTGTATTATCATTTATGGGGCAATTCTCTAGCTGCACACAATTAGTTCAGTTTTCCCCTTAACGTTGCTGGTTCTACACCCTAGAAACATTTTCTGGATTTACATTTTCCTATGCGCCTTATTAAAATGAAACATCTTACTTGCCTAGTGTTTTCAGTGAAGTCTTATTATCTAACAGCATCAATAAAAGCTTTGTAAGACAGAATAAAATCAGTGTAAAATGGACATATAAAATCTACAAAGCCAGACCCTTGATCTACAACACTGTGCATACCATGCATCCCTTTCTATACTCTGTTCTGTTGGACATTACCAGTGTTTCATAATTAGTCAATATGGCTCATACACCTCGTAATACGGGAATGAAACAACCCCCTTTCACACTTGATAAAACCGAGCAACAGTTAACAAGACTTGCACGTAGCCACAGCTTCTGACAGCCTTCCTCTGCTGCAAGCATATGACCAAGGCCGGTAGTTTTTTTACACATATGCATGTAAATATATAATATATGCCTTTTCCTATGCCAGAAGAATCATGCGATTACAGACTTCCGTGCACCATTCCCTAAAACATCTAGGATGACCTACTGCTGATGTATACAAATTACTCACTAACCACAATACAATTCTTCTGGGCCAAAAATAAGATTTTGTTTAAACTGGACCAAATCCACTTTCTGTAAAGTCACTGATTTGCAATCTAAACACAATCAGCATCGAACCTCAAAAGTTATTTGTATTGAAACAGCAATGGATTTTTTTTCCCTTTGGTATTTAATGCTGACATCAAGGGTGAAAGTGCGAGCAATGGGAAGACTGCAGCAAGCCCCCAGTACTACGCCGTACAGAATTACACAACTGCATTACATCCTACTTGTTTCATAATATATTTTCCACACGCAATGAAGATTAAAAATAGTAGAGTGTACTGATTTAAAAAAAAATCTCTGACAAAAATGTAAAGCATCCTCAAACGGCAAACTGTGCAGCATTTGAAGGAAATGAGCAAAGATTTGTTTACAAACCGACTATACAGAGCAGTAGGGGTGTAATTTTAAAGCAAAAGCACTGGGGAAAAGTCACTGGTCATTCAAAATAAGATGCCTAGTAATGGGATTTGATCTCATCAGAAACACAAGTACATAGAAATAAAATGAAATACACTCAGTATGCATTTCTCTCCTCTGTTCGCATTCATTTGCAACGTAAGTTCTTTGCAGCGAGCCCCCTTTCACGCATATGGAGAAAAAAGTCCTCCAGTTTAATGAACATATTAAAATTACCTCATTAAGTCTAAACCCCATGCTCCCAAGAGCGCTCAATGCTGTCAGAGAGGAGGACCCAAACGTCAGTAGGATACGTGCCTGGTGCCCATTTAATTTCTTCTGCTGGGTGAGTTTTCATTGAACTTTTTCAGTCAGAAAAGTGCGTTTTCACCCGCGGGCGCGGGGCGACGCCGGCAGCAGAGCCCCACGGCGGGCAGGTGCAGCGACGAGCTGCATTTTGAAAACATCACTTGGAAAGGGGGCAGTTTCGGGGGTAAAAAAACGGGAGGGGCGGGATTCATTTCGGCCCCTCTTTGGACGCCACGCAAAAGAACGCTTTGTCGTTCGGCACAAAGCGAGCCGCCGCGAAGCTCCGTGCGGCCCGCGGCGGGCCGCGGGGGGG